GAGAGAGAGAGAGAGAGAGAGAGGCAGAGACACAGAGAGACAGAGTGGCAGAGAGACAGAGTGGCAGAATTAAACCACCCCTACCTTCTATGCCTACATTGTTACTTTCGGTGCAGGTGCAAAAACTTGAACTCACATTTACGACTGAAAAAGTTGTAACGATCAACTCCCCTGGCGGCTGTGAGTCGTATAATACAGTGAGGAAAACATGCCAGCGGTACTGGTGTCCTCTCTGAACGGTAGGAGATAGTCACATATCAAAGGGGTCTCTATTCTACTTACTTCGTAGTTCCAGTCTTCGAGTGAGTGAGTTGAGTGAGAAGCCGAAGTAACTGAAAGAAAACGCAAGAGCACCCAACAGCCTTACAAGGAGGAATTGTATTTCTCGTTTGGGATTGCCAACAAAGTGGTTCATACCATTTGTTTTTTGTGTGCTTTTTCTGTTTTTTTGTCCCTCACAGAAACATCACGATGCATCTCCTGTATGCTGGTGGTGGGGAGGGGTGCAGTTGGTATGTCTCCAGTCATTTGGTGGGGAGCTGCACCTCGTTTATAACGGGCCCAGCGCTCCCATGTCGGACATGCTGATCTGACATGCTGATCTGACATGATGATCTGACATGATGATCTGACATGATGATTTGCTGCTGAAAGTCTGAAGGTGTTACTCTATTTACAGTGTACAACATCGTCAAACAGGTCGATTTAAAAGGAAAAAGGAAAACAAATGGATATGGCCCACCCGAACTGCTGCTATTGGATGGGGGGTTAAGGAACGATGAAAAGGGCGGTGCAGCTACTCGCAAACATGCTGGGCCCCACCCCATCTCTGAGGGGCGCTGTTGAGGTGGAGGGCAACATCCACTCACTGGGGAGGACGGCAACATCCACTTCCTTCATTGTGAGCTGGTTATGCTTGCAGGTGTCCCCTGTATATAGCCTTATGCTTGCAGGGGTCCCCTGGATATCGCCTTAGTCGTAGTGGTAGGTAGGTACTGAAAGGTGGAAAAGACGAATTTTAGAGAAGAATTTTAGTCGTAGTGGATGGATCTGAGAGGAACAAAGGGTCTCGTTAGACACTCCTACTGAAATCCTTGGGGAAAAGGAAACAAAGGAAATTTGGGCCCTTTTTTCGACCTGTCCTCGGGAACGTCGCCCGAGGATTTTTTTTTTTTTTTTTTTTTTTTTTTTTTTTTTTTTTTTTTTTTTTTTTTAACCAAACAGAAATTTCCTTATCTTATCAATTCGAGGCCCGGGACCTCACAATTTGACCCGGGGTACTGACAGCATCAGCCAGCTTACCTTACAGGCTTGCGCCTGCAGAAAGTCTCTAAATTCGACCTTCCGGTGACCTACTTCGTACAGCTACCAAAGGCTTGAAACTTGTTATATAGCCAGACCAGGTGCTTTATCACAATAATGATCCTATCGAGTTAGAGTTCTCAGAAACTTTCCTTCTGTCTGCACTATTCCAAGTACCTACTTCTGGGACTAACTCGGCCCAGAGGATTTAATCCTAGATCTACAGACACTCCCCTAGTGGCCCACTGCGGCCCTACTTGCGCCGAGTGTCCTGGCGCTTGAGACCCCTACTGAGGCCTGGCATCCTCCCTGTCTGCTATCCATGGAGAGAGGACCAGGCCCTTGTCCTTATGTGTTGCAAGCTTGTAGTTTTTTGCCCATGTGCGCATGAACCATCGAAGCTGGCGATTGTTTCCCTTGCCAGCCTTGGCTTTCCCTCTCCAGTCCACCGGAATCGCCTGTCTCAGTCCCTTCTTAATGTGGTACTTGATCTCCAGGTCTGACAGGGGTTTCTTCTGGAATCTCGCCTTGTTTCTGTCCGTCCAGATCACCTCACAGATCAGGCCTCTCGTGTCATGTGCCATGTATCCCCAACCTCGACTGCCTTCCACATTGGGAGGTAAGAACCCCAGTAGAACCCGTTTCTCATCCCATGTCACCCCTGTTCCCCCAAACTCCCTCCAGTGGTGGGACAACCAGTTCCGGATCCTTTTGGAAGCTGGACAGTCCCACCACAGATGGCGAGTGGATTCAAATGGCCATCTGCACCTCGAAAAACCGAGCTCTACCTCCATCCCTCTGCTCCTCAGCCAGACTGCCGAGGGGGTATTCAGTAGCGACAGAAGCCAGAGGATACTCACTTGTTTACCGTTGGGTAGGTCGGTCAGTGTCTTCCACAGTCTCTCAAAGTTGGCTGCCTCTCCTGCCATGTCTTCATGATATACGGCTTGCCAGCGCTGAGTGGCAATCTGAGCCGGGGTCTTTATAGTCTTGGCAGCTAGTTGGTAACCGTGTGCAGTAGTCCAGCAACTCTTGGCAGCTAGTTGGTAACCGTGTGCAGTAGTCCAGCAACTTCATGAGGGGAGTTCGGGTGATTCCGGTTGACCAGCTCCAGGCCTGTGGATCTATGGACAGCTGCCTGAGTGGAACACGGCCTACCCAAGTCTGGATGGGTTCTGTTGAACCTTTGCATTGCCTTCCCATAACTCTCACCTGTGTCGGATTGTCCCAGGTGCTGATGGTTGTCTCTTCCACCAAGGTCATGGAGTTATTCTTAGTCCACACACCTCCACCGCTCCACCCTTCTGAACCCGCTGGGGAGGATGTCCAGAACCTTCCATACTGTATCATCCTCCTCTGTTCCAGATTTGTACCATGTGCCAGGAGGGTCGATTCCCTCGGGACCCAGCATCTCCAATCAACTCTGAGGCATGGCAGCTATGATCTGATTCCAGAGCTGTTCCACTCGTTGCAGCCCCCTCAGGATAACTTTCACATCCCCTAACGGTTTCCAGCCCCCCAACATGAGGCACCAGATGTCCTCCAATCTCACCACCCCTGGCCTGACCCAGGCTAGGCCGAAAGCCGTCCACAACCAGCGGAACCCCGGACTGGTCTAGAATCTATGTAACCGGGTGAACGCGCTGAACGCGTGTTCACGTTCAATTGCGTTCAAACCCGCTGTGCACCACATGGCTCGAAAAAATTGAACGGGACCCCGGGGGGCACGCGCGTGCGTTGCGCACTACGGGGTGGTGGGCCTCGTTCTACAAACCCCGAAACTGCAACCCACCCAGAGGCCTACCCCCCCTACCGCATCACCTCCCACCATATGTGAAAAGTTTTTTTTTTTTTTTTGGAGTGGGTGGGAGAATCCCCCTAACACGGCTCAGACGGACCATGCAGGCTATCTGAAGGGTCCGCGCAGCCATGTAGCGCAGACCCCCCCACCAAAATCAAGGCAGGCGGTGAATATGAAGTAGGGAACTAGCTGGCTGAATATATACTCAAGATTCGACTTCAGGTCTGTGTTTCAGAAGTTATGGGTTGCTCACAGAGCTAGGGCCTGTTGGTCTCTGCACGGGACTCTTAGGGCTTGGCTGCACTATTCACCAAATGTGCAAAACTAGAATGAATCTTCTGCAGAAAATGGAATAATACGCCGCCATATGTGTTTGTCTTTTGTGCATGTGGTGAGTAGAGGCCCTTAGGGCCACTGCACGTATTCCTAAAAGAAAAACGAGAAAAAAAAAAACCAAGAAAAATGAAAAAACGAGAAAAAGTCCTTCGGGACATTCGTTAAAATTGGAACGATAGAGAGAAGATTTTTTTTTTTTCCTTTCTGTATTCTTCTCTCAACTTCTGTTTCTTTTACCTTCCACTACCTACTCCTAAGACTATCTAGAGGGGACCCCTGCAAGCATAGTTTCCTCTCTCTGTGAAGGGGAGATTTCATGTTGCCCCTTGCCCCTAATGGTTAGGGTATAGGGTTGGGGCGGCCAGTGGGGGTCTGGCTAACACAAAGACCGAGACCTGCCAGTAGCTTTGCCTCCCTTTCTCATCGTCCCCCACCCTTCATCGAGTAGCAGCAGAGGCTATGGCCAACACTCTCCCACACACCACACACAACCCACTCGCGCTCACACTCACACCTGTGTTGGTCATAGACCCCGCTAATATCGATCAGGGGTATCCAGAAGATTAGCATGGCCCCTGCGCAAGGATGACATGCATATATGGAGAAATGGAAAAAGAAAAAAAAATAAAAATGAGAAAAAAGAAAAACAAGAAAAATTTAAAACGAGAAATTTCTCGTTTTTCTTTTCTTAGGAATACGTGGTGTCCTTCGGGACATCCATTAAAATTGGAACGTGTAGTGGCCCTAAGGGCCTCTACTCACCACATGCACAAAAGACAAAACATCTGGCGGCGTATTACGGTCTCGTTAGACACTCCTAAAAGAATCCTAAAATTTTTAGGACGAGTCCTAAAGGATTTTTAGGATTTCGTGCGGTG